GACTGAAGACTGAATTGCGTTTGACAAGTTTGGCTCGGGTCGCTTTAAAAAGTCCTCTTCCTGTTCTTGTCTTGTTCACGTGCAGTTTCTGTCCTCAGACAAAATCAACGGGAGGATGGACTCTTGTTTACCTTTGCATCACATCGCAAAGCGTGTGCGGAGGCATGCGAAAGCCTGAGCAGCTTGCTCGTTTGGGACCTCACGCCAGTTTTGATCAATGAAGCAGCAAACGAGGTTGCGTTTCATTGGTTCACGAGCGCCGTAGATAGCGATATGTGCTGCTCCAAAAAATAAAGGGAACGCTCAAACAGCACAATGTAAAGTGTTCCCTTTATTTTTTTTAATATATATTTTTAAAATTATATATATATATGATATGATACACTTTGCTTAAAATGTCAAAATGGAGAACTCTCGACCTCGCTTTACCTTTCTTGCCAACCACAGTGAAAAGATGTTTGGAAAGGGATCAATCAAAGTTAATGAACTTCTCAGAAAGCCTCCTCATCGAATGACAAATAACCTTAGCTCGATTGTCCTGACGCTGCGCGCCGACTCGCCAACCGTCATCTGTTGTGTCTTAACGTTGGCGGCGTACCGTTTGCCTCAACACATTGACTTTCTTCTGTTCCTCCTTTGCTCACAGCCAACGATTGCGCAGATGACAACCTGACGACCTTGTACCTGAACATAAAATACAAGAACATGTGTTCATACAGCATTCCCAACGAGAGACCAGACCCTTCGCCAAGGCCAAACAACCAATTGTATAATGTACGTATACAATCTATGTATACTGATCGTCTCCAAAGAGATGTCCTATCTGGTGTTGACTTTGCCCGCAGGTAAACCGGTTACACTGAAAAGAAGCGAGCGATTTGCGGAAACCAATGCGCTCCATTGATTGTTATCAATGCTCGGGCAGCCCACTGTACAAGGTATGTTGCCCTTTTTCCTGCTTACCACACTCAAACGCGTATCCCTCAATCAAATGACTCAAGTACAATTTAATTTTTAGTTGGGATCTTGATCGAATAACTACTACTTTGAAGAACAAAAAAAAAAGTTGGAAGGTTACGCAAGAGCAGTGCAAGTTGCTGTAGGGAATTAACATGCTCCTCAGAGTGAAAAACAATATTAAATATGTAAAAACCAAGGTTGAGATGAGAGTCAAGGGTGCATGTGGATAACTTTTTTTTATGTGCACTTTTTGTATTGTTGCTGCTTTCTGGAGAGTTCTCATGCAAATCAGGTAAAAAAGAAAAGTGCTGCAGGAGTGTGTCAATCAATCACATTTAGTGGCAATTACATGATTTTGATGGTGTGGAACAGAGAAACAGCTCACACAGACAGACACAAAAAACATTCCTCCCCAAATTCTGTTAATGTGTATTTCTATCAGTTTTTTTTTTTTTTGTGATTAAAAAAAAGAACTAACAACCCTTTTAGATTGGAATGATGCATTTTTTTTATTGGACAGCAATGAAACGCAGTTCAATGTGTGCTGCATTTTCAAGATAATTTTCATCCGTTCGTTTTTGGTAGGGTTCGTCCTCGTTTGTGAAACAATTTTTCATTTTTTTGTTGTTGTTTAAATGTCATCTTCCAGAATAGATGGCCACTCAGTGTCTCTACCAGGCGTATGTTCGCATTGTTTCGACTCAACATAAAAACGTTATTAAGTGCATAGGTGATAGTTTAATTTTTTTCAACATGGTTAATTGTCTTACAAGTATATTGTAAATTGGACTTAAGCAGCCTCATATTTACCAGTTAGAAACAATTTAGCGGGCTGAATTTTCAAAATACATCTGCAGATACAACCAAATGTAAATATCCACCAAAATAACCCGACATGGGCCTCATTATACTCCAAATGGCGGTCTTCCGGTGTCTTTTTTGGCATTGCTTCTAGAGGCTTTTTGGTGAGTCTCCCCATGACAGAAATGCCCAGCAAGCGCCATGTTTATCAGGGAAATTGGCTTTGCATGCTTTTTCAATTTTTTTTTTTTTGTGTGTGTGTGGGGGGGGGGGGGGGGGGGAAATTTTAAGGGGGGGGTGGGGGTGAAATTGTAACGTTGAGTTTCGAGGCTTTATAAATCTCTCCAACAATAATCAGAATTTGAGAGCGACTTGGGAGAGACACAAGCTTATTGCTTTTTTTCAGCACTCGCCAACACGTCCCTTTACTTCGTCGCCTCCTTCTGACGTCACCACAAACTAGGCATAACAAACAAAGACCCGAATACATGGACCACTCTTAAGCCTACAATACCATGCCCGGAATGACATTGTTTATTAATCATCAGACGACAAAAAGGGACAACGAAAGAATGATTTCAAGAGGGCCTTCACACCGCGTACACGGCCTCGGATAAAATGAACAGCAACATAACATTTTACATCGACAAACCCAGAGAGGAAATGCGCTGTGATCCACACTGTAAAAGCTGCGAACTTTTTTTTTTTTTTTTTTTTGTAAAAGCTGCGAAATGAATTATGCTGTGTTTTCTCTGTTGACATGACTGACTGCGCAACACAACAATACACCCGTTCGGGCGCATATACATTTTCCCTCGACATAAAGCGACAACGTTAACCTCGTGTATTTTCCAGCACGTTTGGGTCAGAACAGCAGTTGAAAGGGATGTGGTATTCGCTGAGCTCATAGAAAAAAAAAACTTGCAAGCGGACACTAATATCCTGTAACGCGATTGGCCCGTTGAGGGCTGCAAAGGCGAATTCGGAAAGCCATTTCACGCCGCTGCTCCCAGCAGAACTGATGTGCTTTGTTTACTGTGACGACGATGTCCCCCCCCCACACACACACACGCAGCCCTCGGGGTGACTTGAACGTATCCCCGCTTTCCCAGGCTCAATACAGGGCCTCGAAGGCAGCACGGCAGCTGCTGGAATCGTCGCAGTGTAAATAAGTCACGTTGCGTCAGCGGTGCGGTAATGTGTTTCTAATGACCATCCAAAATGAGAAATCCTCTGGTATGAAGCTCAAGTAATTAATAATGGGGAAAAACAAACGAGACGAGCGGCACAACAATACGGGGCGAGTGCAACAAACGAGCTTGCAATATGGATTTATGCTGGTCTATTCCCATGACGGTCACAGTGGCGTGCAGGCGAGAGGCTACAGGTGCTTTTGACACATCCACTACATTATAAATAAGTGTGTCATACCTTTTCTGTTTTTGAAGACTAAAAAAAGCACAGTTAGTTAAAAAAATCACTTATGTGTCAAGTTAACCACAATATGTTCCATGATGCTGGCTTCATTTGCATTATTCTTTGGATGTACCAAATGCTTCAAACCAAACAGCGGACTTTTCAGGCATGGCTTTGGGGGCTGAATTTTCAAAATATATCAAGGGATGGCATGCCTTCTTGACATTTTTTCGTGGATCAATTCATGACACGTGCCCACAAAATTTGATGTTACTGAGAGTGCTTAATTTTAAAAAGATATTTCAACAAAGGTAAAACTTCACCAAAAGGAACCTGAAATGACAACTCCAAACCAAAATGGAAGATTTCCTGTGTCTTTCCAGGCATGCGTTCTCAAGACTTTTTTGTGGATCTACTCGTGATAGACATGTCTAGCAAAATTCATGTTGCTTGAGTGAAATGCCCTTGAGGGATGAATATTCAACCATTTCAGAGGTCATTCGAGACTCAGCTTTGCCACACTCTTCTGTGGTGTTGTAACACACACACACACACACACACACACACACACACACACACAAGCAAAACAAGGGATATTTTTGAATACTCAATGTGCTGAAGTCTCACACATGTTGCTTCTTTGAGCTCTTGATGTTGTTTGACTTTTGCTCTTTTTACAAAATATATAAATTTTTTTTTAAAATCATAACCAGATACACTTTCGGAGGTGGGAGCATATCTACAATCTTAATTACCAAAAGGAGATAAGGTTTCATGCAGATCTTGCTTCCGGAGGGAAGAGAACAAAATATAATGTGATCCCATAGAAGCATAACAAATTATAACCTGATCTGATGAGATTTGACAGCGATATGCCACATAACGAGCGTATGTTCAATGTGGTTTCATTTAAAAATGTCTTTTGTATGCATCGTCATTTTTATATCGTCGATATTCACCTGCAGTGGATCAAAATAGAGCTACAACCACAATCATGAACATAATTAAGGGTTCTGGGATTCAGGCTGGGGTGTTCGGTTGAGCGATGCAATCGAGCACCACTGAACTGTCACACAGTGTGCGAGGTTCTGCAACTTCGCCTTTATGAGTGGCAGACTGTCGGCACCTAGTTTTGCTGCAGTTTGAAATTTGAATCGCGGGTCATCGGTGTCGCAACGTCCCAGATGTAACGGTCAATCATAAATAGTGTGCATCACATGACCTTTCACAACAAAAACTCTTTCCCGGGTACCGTGTGAGATCTTGCCGTCCGCCGCCATGTACTACCATTGCAGTATATATTGTATTTATATTGGCCTTTACAATAATACTGAACAATATTTATCATCCTGGGATTGGCTGGCAGCCGGTTCAGGGTGTCCCCCGCCTACTGCCCGAAGACGCCTGGGATTGGCTCCAGCAACCCCCGTGACCCTTGTAAGGATAAGAAAATGAATGAATGAATGAATATTTATCATTGAATAGAATCTGTGGCTAAAAAGTTCAGCGTGGTGAGTCTCTGTCCCGAAATGCATGAATGCAGTTCATGAATGGGGCTCAAAATGTTATCAGAACAACAGTGTTTTCGATTTCCCACTGCAGCGAGATGCTATGTGTGCGAGAGTCAGCCGATAGGTGGGTGGTTGCGAGTCGCCCAATCTAATTTGTTTGTGAATGTCCAGTTCAGTCGCGCTTAGCCGTGTCGCTAAATGTGCGCAGGCCTTCGCTTTAAGGTTAGTGTATTGTTAGTTGTTAGTAGGCCAAGGTGGTTTGGTTTAGGGTTGAAGTTAGATTTCGAAGGATTTGTAGAGTTTGGGCTTGGGTGAGTGATGAGGAGTGCTGTTTTGAAGTGTTCTAGTGTGGGGGGGGCGTTTCCAGGTGATGTTTTGAAACGACTTCATCTCGTCTCCACTCGGGTGAAAGGCGAGCCGGTGGCGGCGATGCGGAAGATACCGACCGCCACGCTGGCATTGGTGTGCGAATGCGTGTTCCATCTTACGTGAGTGTGCGTCTGCCCCCGGGCCCCGCCCTTGTCAGCCGGTTGCTGCTCCGTGCCCACGACAGCTGACATCGGCGGGCTGAGTCAGTGACAGCTTGTGCCTCGCACACGCATACACATGTAAACATACATAAACGACTCACTCTGACAAACTGGAAGCAGTCCATTTCAAAACGCCCCCTCCCCGCTTCTTCCACAAACACATATCACCATCTTATTTTGCTCTATAAAAAGCCACCAAGGGCGATGGATGGCCGGCGGTTGATTTTGCTCATAAAGGCCTCATATTGATTGACACAATACTTTGCTGTCGACATGCTCTCGCAAGTTACCTCCCAGCTCTTGAAGTTTTCTGTCGGCGTCTGTCATCATCAATCAAAAGATCCTTTGGCTGAAGTCCTCATTAGTCTGGTTTCCTTCCAGATGAATCACAAAGACCATCCGTCCTTCCTTCCATCCATCATTCCTTCCAACAAGAGGCGATCTCGGGTGACACGGAGCGACCGGACGGGGTCATCACTGAAAGATCGCCAATCGTCATGCGGTATTGCCCTCATGCAAATCCATGTCAAAATGTTTCACGGAGTCCCAGTGTGGCAGGAAACCCACGCAGGCCACGGGGAGAACATGCAAACTCCACACAGGAAAGCGAAAGCTGGAATCGAACCCTGTACCTCTGCACTGTGAGGCCGACGTGCTAACAAGTCGACCACTGGGCTGCCTGGCAGTAACGCGGATTATAAAATTGATGCCAGCTGTCCCTCGATACAGCGCTATCTGGTTACAATTCAATCTGCTTCTTCAGATCCTCACCAAAATTCCTCACAAAACCCACCAAAAATCCGCTTCCAGTTTTAAATGACATTGTCAGAGAGCACTATGTATTTGTGAGAGTAGTCACAAAGCTTCTGGGACCTCCTCGAGGTACTTGGCCTTTAGCGGGGGTTTTCTTCGAGCATTGATCATTTCATACAAGAGTT